GCTGACAGTCAGCACAGAGCCCGACGTGGGGCTCGAACCCACGAACCGCGAGATCATGACCTAAGCGAAAGTCGGACGCTTAACCGACTAAGCCACCCAGGCGCCCCGAGAAAGGGAAAGTTTTATAATCAACTTGTTTAACTAAATGGATTTATCGAACATGTTAAAGAACAGTGGAATGGTTGGGACTGTCTCCAACTTTAGACAAACAGACTCCAGAATTTTGTCACAAGAGATAATTTGTGAATATAGTTATTGAAAGTGAGAGGGCAAAATTATAAGGTAGGATTTTAGGCTTGAAAGGCCTTCTCCATTATAAGAATATAAAAGTTATTTCACATTTTCTTCCAGTGCTTTACTGTTTTGTTTTTTATGACCATTTCTCCTGGAATTTATTTTTATGTATCATTTAAGGATCAGAAAAAAATGGGTTCCCAATTAATAGTTATCCATCATCATTGATTGATCAGTGCAGTGTTTATCTAATGACATAATATACCAATTTTGTCATATATATGCATACTTGATTTAATGCCACTTTGGTAGAATTAGTTAATATATATATGTATATAGTGCTATAAATGTATTTTCTCTTCCTTATAATTTTCTTAATAATATTTGCTTTCCTCTAGCCTACTTTATTGTAAAATACAGTATATAATATGTATAATATGTAAAATATGTGTTAATTTGTTGTTTATGTTATTAGTAAGGCATCCAGTTATCAGTAGGCTATTAATGGCTAACTTTTGGGGGAGTTAAAAGTTGTAAGAGGGTTTCTGACTATGTGTGGGATCAACACCCCTAACTCTTACCATGTTGAGGGCCAACTCTCTACCTTTCTCTATATGTATTTCCTCCCCTTCAGTTTCTAAGTACTTTTGTGAGCTCTCAGCCAGTAGGAGCTGGTATGTAGTGTGATAGACTGCAAAAAATAGTTCTTGACCAGTAAGCATAAGTCCACTATTGCTTTCAGGTACAGAATCTGCTACTTTGCTAACCATGGGGTGAATATATTCTGCAGGGTGTGTAATTTATTATGCTATGGCCTTTCTTTCATTTATTTTGTATTCTGAGAACAGTTCGTCCAAAATGACTGGTTAAATGTGTAGAAATAACACTGGATATACTTCAGATATACAAGGTAATGGTGTTATAATGGTACTTACCGTAGAAGTTTTGTAGAGGCTGGAGGTGCTTTCCAGGATAGAATCAAGTAAGCAGAGTGTTTAGATCATCAAAAGATAGGTATCAATAAGTGACAACTGACATTAAAAAGCCCATTATAACATCACTATGATTTGGATTGACCAACAATTATGTGAAGATACTTAAGGAAAAGATTATGGAAGGAGTCTCATCCCCATTCAGAGAATCTGAGTAGATTTTAGGAGTGGCTGCCAAGGCTGGGTATCAGAAAAGCATCTCCATAGGGACTTGTGATAGTGATTCTCCTATAGAATTGATTCAGTTATGCTTCTCTTTCCAGTAATACAATCCCTCCATTAAATGGGGTATGGGTATACTAAATTCCTGTAAGTATTCATGGGTCTGTTTCCGGAATTTAAATTCTATAATATTAATTTATGTGCTCATTCCTGAATCAATACAACAGTTTTAATTACCATAATTTTATGTTTTAATATATTATAGTACGAAAACATTTTGAAAAATATCTTGAATATATTTATTACTTATTTTTCTAGATGAACTTCAAGAAAAGCTGTCAGTCTTTTTAAATACTATTAGGATTTTGACTGGTATTATACTAAGTGATTTGAGGAAACTCTCCTAGTGTTCTTCCTCCCCAGATTCATATTTTCTATATCCTTTAGCAAAGTTTTTTCATACCAGTACTACAGTTTTGGAGTTTCTTACTGGTTATGTTGCAGATTTTACTGCTCTAGGTTGTGCCAATATTTTTTCAAATATATTTTAAAATTATGTTTTGTTAGTATCTAGGAAAGACAAATACTTTATCTTACCTGTAGTCATTTTGTTGACCTCTCATAGAAATAGTTTTTCTTTTGATTGTTGGTGTTTTGTTGTTGATAGTTATGACATCTGTAAATAATGAAAGTCTGCCTCTTTTTTCTTCCCAACATTGCTCTTCTTTTTCTTGTCTTATTCAACTGGCTTAGAAATTTGACTGACTGGGGGCACTTGGGGGTGCCTGGGTGGCTCAGTAGGTTAAGCATCCAACTTCAGCTCAGGTCATGATCTCACGGTTTGTGGGTTTGAGCCCCGCATCGGGTTCTGTGCTGACAGCTCAGAGCCTGGAGCCTGTTTCAGATTCTGTGTCTCCCTCTCTGTCTCTACCCCTCCCCGACTGGTGCTCTGTCTCTCTCTGTCTCAAAATAAATAAAAAACAAAAAAAAATTTTTTTAAATAATAAAAAAAGAGATTTGACTGATTGTAGTAGGAATCATTAATTATATCTTTGTAAATCTCTAGTGGATTTGCTTTATCAGGTCAAGCAAGCTTCATTCTATTCCTATTTTATTGATAGTTTTATTTTTTCTTTCTTTTTTTTTAAATACTTTTATTTATTTCTAGGAGAGAGAGAGAGTGAGCAGGGGAGGGTCAGAGAGACAGGGAGACACAGACTGTGAAATAGGCTCCAGGCTCTGAGCTGGCAGTCAGCACAGAGCCCGACGCGGGGCTCGAACCCACGAACCGCGAGATCATGACCCAAGCGAAAGTCGGATGCTCAACCGACTAAGCTACCCAGGCGCCCCTAGTTTTTCAAGATTGTCAAGATGATCGCGGTAAATCCTCTTTACTATGTAAGGTCTATATAAATTTCTTTTAAAAAATGTATGAAGACTTTTTGTGACCTATTAATATTTTTAATATTTATGTTTTCATTCATGCTGGAAAAATGTGAATTATCTGTTTAGTTTCCATATGTATTTATTAAAATAACATTCTTTATTTATGAGAGTTTTATTAAAATTTCCCTCTATTAATGTAGACTATACATTTGTCTTCCTATTGTGTTTTGCTTTCTTTTTGTATTTCAGTGTTGAGTTGTTAATTACATAAAGATTCTTGATAGTTGTAACTTACTGGGGGTTTAATCAGCAAAACATATACCATGTTTACTTTGACTAAAAGTATCACTCCTACTTTCTCTGTGTGAGCATTTCCTTGGTAAATTTTTCATCATCCCTTTACAGCTAACTTTTTGTTCAGGTGTGTCTCCTGGTCTCCTATAAATAGCTTGTCATTAGATAAATTTACTACCCAATCTAATAACCTATCTTTGCTAAGGTTAATTTAACGTATTGACTTTAGTTAATACAGTGACTTTAGGTTAGCATATATTTGGTATTTTCTATTTGCTATTTTTTCTTCCTTATTTACTTTCTACCTTCAGCTGAATTTGTTTACTTTGTTCATTGGGCCATACTTCTTTTTTTCTGTCTAGGAGTTTTCAAGTAATTCATCACCTTTTTCTCTTGCTTGCCCTTGAATTTTAAAAAACATATTTAAACACAGGCTATATTTTCTATAATGTCAATCATTTGTGTCAGTAACCTCCTTCCCAAACTAGATAAGATTATTAATATACTTAGACCAATCCTAACATTTCCTAACCTCTCATGCTTTGTGGATATCATCTGGAATTTTATTTATAGATTTTAAAATAATTTGCTCTATATTGTGGCTCAATTTTTATGTGAATTTTAGCTTATTAACTGTGATTATCTTAATTTCATGAAAAATTTTATCAGTTTCACCGTTACCTCTTTCAACCCATGTGTCCCTCTTAGTTGTATATATTTTTTATTTTCAGTTTCCTTAAGTGATACTTTCAGAAAACATTCATTCAGGTGGTAAAGTTCCTGAGTCTTCTAATATATTAAAATGCCCTAAGTTTCCCCTCAAAATTAAATGACAGTTCAGTGGGGTAAAGAAATCTAGGTTAAAAATAATGGTCCTTTAGAATTGCAAAAATTTTTCCATTTTGTTACTGCCTGGGAGATCAAATGAGAAATCTAACAGTAATCTGAGTATTGTTCCTTTAAAATTATCCTGTGTTTTATCTTTTGAGAAGGTTTTAGGGCCTGTCTGCATTTTCTTGGAGATCAGAAATTTCCCAACATGTCTAGATGTGTATCTTCTCCCCACTCCCCCCCACACACATGTGGACATTTTATTAGTTTCTGCAAAAAGAGGACAATAATACCAAATTTTAAATATAAATCTGACGTCATCTGAGATGCCAACCATATACACAGAAGGAAGATAAAAGTAAATGTCTTGCAAGGAGTTTAGCATAAATACTGGAGAACTTGTGGGCAGTGGGAGATGAAGCAGCCTAGAGGAAGGGGAGTAAGAGAGAGCAGAGGGTGGTATGAAAGGATAGTGGTGAGGGTCGTAGATCTGGTTGGCTGCAATTGGTTTTCCTGAAGCAACTTTAGCAATTATGTTCACAATTTCCTAATCACTTTCACACACCTCCATATGATACCCTCAAAATCTGAAATCAGTAGCTGAATTTTAGCTACAAAGTTCACAAAATAATCAAAGAAACCAGAATGAGACAACCCAAAGAGAAAATCCCAGCAATTATTCTCAGTCTGTCCTTCCTCAATTTAAAATACACTCTGATAGGGGTGCCTGAGTGGCTCAGTCACTTAAGGATGGGACTTCACTCAGGTCAGGATCTCATGATCAGTGAGTTGAAGCCCCAAATCTGGCTCTGTGCTGACAGCTCAGAGACTTGAGCCTGCTTCCGATTCTGCTTCTCAGTCTCTCTCTGCCCCTTCCTCATATGTGCGTTCTCTCTCTCTTTCAACCTATCAAAAATAAATAAACATTAAAAATTTTCAAATAAAGTAAACTCTAATATGCCTGAGGTGGGATGTAGAAAGTCAGAGCAGAGTCAGCTGAGTCTTCTATTGAACTTTTCATCAAATACCAAGAATGAACAAGGGGCAGGGTATATTTTTATTTTATCTTACTGTAAAAGAGAATAACCTAAAGTTATTCTACTATAAAGGGACATAGCTGAATAGGTAAGAAACAGATTCTCCATTGTGAGTTGTCTTAATGGCTTCCACAAGGATTGTGGAGATGTCAATCACCTGTATCTTGGAGCAGTGCTTCATCTTATCCTCCTGAGGTATGGAGTTAGTGATGACCACTGCTTCAAAGCATGCACTGTTGATACGAGTAATGTCTGGGCCAGAAAAGATTCCATGAGTCAAGATCACGTAAACTCTGGTGGCTCCAGCTGAGAGAAGTTTGTCAGCTGCATGACAAATTGTACCACAAGTATCAGCCATGTCATCCACACAGATGGCCACATGATCCTTCACATCCCCCACTAGCACCATATGGTCCACTTCATTGACCTTCTTCCATTCTTTGTGGATGAAGGCAAAGTCCACATCCAACGTGTCTGCAATGGAGGTCACTCTCTTAGCTCCACCAGCGTTTGGTGAGAATGGTGTAGTTCCTCCACTCAGAGATATTCTCCCGTATCCATTTCAGGACAGCTGGTTCCGCATAAAGATTGTCTACTGGGATATCAAAAAACACCTGAATTTGAAAAGCATGTAAGTCCATAGTGATAATATGATCTGCACCCGCTATAGACAGCATATTTGCAACCAGTTTGGCAGATATCGGGGCCCGGCTTTTATCCTTCTTATCCTGCCAGGCGTAAGGGAAACATGGTATGACTGCAGTAACCTGACTGGCTGAAGCAATCTTGCAGGCATTAATCATGATCAAAATCTCCATTAGACTGTCATTGATTTTGCCACAACTACTCTGCACTATGTAGATATCCTCTCCTCTCACGCTCTCACCAATTTCCACATAGGCCTCCTGATTTCTGAGTTCCTTGATCACCACTTTGCCTAGCTCCAGGATCAGGTGGTCGGTAATTTTCTGGGATAAGTTCTGATGGGAGCTGCCCCCCAAGATTTTGATATTGGACATTTTCGTCAATCACTCAAATCACTCTTCATCCTGCGATCACCACTGCTGTCAAGGTTGCAACCAAAGTCAGACCACAGACTAACGAAGGACTTTCTGTTGTTACTGGCCAGTTACCGGCCCAGTTCCAGTGGTGGCCGCGAGCTGCTCTACATTGATCTTGAGTCTCTGGAAAACAAATTTCCACTTGGTGTCCACTTTGCACTTTTAAATTTAAAAAATCCAGTCTTTCTTCATTTCATGGATTTTTTCTTCTGTAGTGCCTGAAGTAGTTTCCTAGGGGTGTGAAACAAATTCAAACACATAAAAATGTAAAACTTCTATAAGGTAAAGGATGTGTACATTTAAAAGGAAAGTTACAGACTGGAGAAAATGTCTAAAACATATATTAGACAATGTGCTTCCAATGGAGTGAGGAAAAAGATGACCAAAAAGTTTGGAAATGGTATGAATAGGCAATTTACAGGGGAAAATATGATTTTAAACATATTAAAAAATACTAGTAATCAGGAAAATGCTAATTTTCACACATTAGGTGGGCCACAATTATAGGATAGATAAACTCCTCTATTGTAACAGAATGTGTAAGTGTGTAAACTTTGCAAGGGAAGTTTTGTTTCATATAACCTTTGACTCGATATATCTCTTTCTAGGAATCTACTCAATAGAAATATTTATAGGCATCCCAAAATATATTGATAGTGTTATTTGTTGCTGTGTTAATTCATTCAGTTAATATTTTATGAGGTATTGTGTGGCAGGTATGGTATCATTTATAGAATATAAGATGGTAAATAACAAATAGTATATCTCTCTAGAATTACTCATAAAAGCAAAATCTGGAAACTAACAATGACCAACAATAGGTGAATTATCATATATTGTATTGTACAAACATAGGCAGCGATTAAAGAAACTGACTTACATGCAGTCATATGGAAATATCCCCAAGATATTTCTAAATATAAAAAACCCAGTCAAAAATATAAGCAACATATGAAATTTATGTATTTAAAATTAAGTAATAGTTAAAGCATCAAGTCATTATGGAGGTTCTTTTCATTTTGATTATCTCCAGAGAGGGGAGTAGGTTGGTGGGAGTTTGGGATGAAGGAGGACTGTCATATTTTATTGCCATTTATTAGTGTAGTATTGAACTTTCATTACTTTTATAATTTAAAAAAGACTAATAAAATGTATGTGATGATTAAATGTTAGTAAATTTTAAGTACACAGTTTCCAAAGTTCATTAAGAGTTGGTGTAATGGGGAAAGAAATGGAAGGGACCACAGATACCAGGAATTTCAAGAACAAATTGTATCATAAAAATAATGGAGGCATCAGATATAGATCCTACATTTTTGTCCTGCTAATTGTGTGTCTGGCTTTTGCTTCTGAACTCTTTTGATCTAGTCTAAAAATAAATAACCATTTTTTCATAGTTTGAAATTGATAAATAATCTGTTGAATATATTTTCTCACCCTATTTTTGAGCTCCCCCACTGAGCGGGGTTCATGAATAGGATAAGATCAGGAACTAGGTCAGGACTGGAATAGGCAACAGAAATGGGTAACATTGGACAATGTCTATGAAACACATTACCTTGCTAGAAAAAAATGTAGGTATATTAAATGTGCCATTAATATAAAGCCATGTCAACAGCTATGTTAAAAAGGCTAAATCAAAATGTCCTGCTGCTGATGCAATCACCTCTCTTCTCAACATTATCAGGCTTTTCTCCTCATTTCAAACCCTTCATGGTTGGCAGTGCATGCCAGCTCACTTCTGCTTACAACCCTCCATTCATGTTCCTTCCTATCATAAAATCAGCAGACCCATCTATACTATATCATTCTCATCCTCAGCCTGACTACATACAGTGATTTCTAAAGAAAATTCTGTGGCTTAATTTAGTTGCACTAAAAAGTACTTGCAGCTTCAATTAAAATAATTTTTCTCTTAGTGTTCTCAATGTGTCACACATTTTTCACTTTTTAAAGAAAAACAAAACAGATTTTTAAATAGACTTATTATTACCTAAATAGGACTGAATGCTAATGTAAACATTAAAAACACATAGTTGGTTACATTTTCCTTGAGGTGTGAAGTAGAAGAAATTTTTGTCTTGCTGCTATTTTTGCTCCAAGTTCTGGCTGTTGCAACACCTTATAGTTCCAGGGATTTGTCTAAAATCATAAAATGTTAATGGTGGAAATGGCCTTCAAGACCACCCAGTCCAACATCCTTATTCACCGACAGGAAACTGAGGTCCAGAGGAATGAAACAACTTGTTTAGGATCTAAAAGCTAATTAGAGGCAGAGCGTGGACTAGAATGTGGGATTCCTGAATTTCCAAATAGCATTTTTCTCACTGTATTGTTTTTCTTTGAGGTTTATGAGAGTGAAGGAAAAATGTAAAGTTGGGTGGAAAATTTTTACATTAAAAGTGTTATTTTTTATTATCAAACAACTACAGTAAGGAACAAACCCCCAAACCTGAGACTGAAAAATTATTTTAAAAATTATTTCCTGAAAGAAATGAATGATTGGTAGTATCATGGAAATATCTCTATTACTCTGACATTTCTGTTACTTGAATTTACTGCAAGGGCATTTAGTTCCTGTTTACTTTGGTCTTTGTAGGTTGAAGAAGACATCTATCTTATCATTGGCTGTTTCTAACAAAAGTTACAGGTAGTAATGGTGCCTATTAAAGAACATATTCTCTGTATTTAAGACATCATATCTTAATAAATTACTCTAGATAAATAAACTGTGGTATAGAGAAAATGGCTATCTTTCTCCTTCCCAAGGCAAGCATATTTAAATGTCATCTCTGCGGATCTTTGAGACCTGCTATATTTTGAAGGTGTTTCAAGTCAATACCCAGCCAATACCAATACTTGGTAATAGTTTCTTGCTTTATGATTATTTTTTACCCTTTACAAATTCCAACATAAATAATTCAAAGAGAGAGCCTTGATGAAGCTTGATCAGCTAAGGAGAAAAGAAATTCAGTCAATTCTTTTAGAAAGTGGAGAAAAACAGTTGTTGTATTTTAAGTAAAATAAATGCTTTCACTAAACATACTTGCAGTTGACAAAATGCTAGATGTTTAGGTGGCAATTATAGTTCTTTGATAAACTGTCAAATCTTGTCATAACACATGTTACAAACAAGGACAGATTTAGATGTCCTTTATGACAGCTTTGTGTAGGTTGAGAATGTTTGGCAGTTAATTTCAAACAAGGAACATATTTTTCTTTCCAGCAGTTATCTGCTTGTTTATTAGGAAGAGTTTCTTTGTGCCTTTAATCTTATTCATTTGACTCACAGTTCCAGATCATTATTGTAACATTACCTTACCTCATTTATTTTGTTCATAATAACCATCCACAATACTTCGAGAAAATTTCCCACAGAGCTTTACATTGGTAGAAATGCTTTAAAGTTAGTTTTGTAATTTTTTACAATTAAAGTTGACTACTGTGTATGTTTATTGAGCTTTTAGTTGGAAATCTGTCATTTTATACAATAGATGTGAAGATGATTAGGTAAACAAAGCTGAATAAAACAAATAGAGAAAAGGGAGAAAAATCTGTGATTCAGAAATCCCCTTTAATTCTGAGTGTTGTTGTAGACTTATGAGGGTATTTTTGAAACATATTTTCAAATTTAAAAAATTCTGGAGAGCTTGAAAATCCTAGTATGAACTAATAATCTTGGAATAAAAATGATGTTGCATGTGCTGAATAATATGTAATTGCAAAGGCAAATGAAGCAGTATATATGGAAAGGTTCTATAACTAGTAATTGCAAACAAGAAATAGCTTCCCGATATTTATATGAAATATTTTAAAGTATTTTAAAACAGTTTTTGATGATGGGTCTTTCCTTTCTTGTGTAGAATATTATTATTTTCATTAAATTAGTAGAGATTCATGTTAAGTATATTTTGACAAAACACAAGTTCCATTTATGTTATTCAATCGTATTTTTAAAGATATTTTATCTTTTTCTTTTCAATTGTGACCATTTGTTTAATCCTCGTAATAAACATTACGACACATTGTCCATCCATGTAAGTAAAACTGAGTGTAGTGTGCTTTGGAATGATTCAGTGGTTCTCAGACGTGAAGGGCATCAGGATCTCCAGGCCGGACTGTTAGAATATACATTCCTGAACCCTGTGCCCACAGATATTGATTAATAGGTCTAGGGTGGAGGCCCAGGTTTGGTGTTTCTAATAAGACACCAGATAATGCTAATGCTGCCCTTCTGGTGACCACACTTTTGAGAGCCACTGGTTTATATCATCATTATTTATTTTGCCATTTGGGAAAATAAAAGGTATAGTTTTATTTTTGTTTGATTCACTTCCCTAGTTGTTGTGACGTTTTCATTTTGCTTCTAGATTTTTTCTCTTCATATTCTTCTTTTCTATGTATGAATATTTCTTTCACATATCACATAATTCTTTAAGAACTATAAACCCACATACTTCAACTAAAATACCTGTATAATGTTCCAGAAATATTTTGACAAGTACATGTAGGATATGAACTCTTGTTATTTTGGGAATTCAAAAAATCTGTTCGGCATTTGAACACCTAAAAATCAATTTCTATGTACTAGCCCAGTAAGAATTGAATGAAAACTAAAGCTCTCCAATTTATTGTCTGGTTTCCCCTCCTTGAATTTCTTACAGTATTCACCACCGAGGAAGATCTTTTTTGTCATCATACCCTGAAGACCGTTTGGCTGTCATTGATGATACTAAGCATTGTACAGGGTAAATACTTGCTAGTTTGATTTGATACTGCCCTTTGGGAGGACGTCATTCTATATCAGTTTATAATACAATAACTAGCAATGGCAACAAAGTAAACAAAACAAAAGAATTTCTCTATCAATTAAGTGTTTTAATGAGTACAACCTTAAGGCCTCCGTATTGTCCTTCCTGAAGGGTATCTTGGCTCTTCTTATCCCTTCATACTTCCATTCAAGATTTACAGTCAGCTTTCAAGTTCCACTAAAATTTTTATAAGATTTTGATTGGAATTGCATTACAACTATGAATCAATTCAGGGGGAAAATTGACATTATCATACTGACTTTTCCAATCTATGAACATGCTATCTCTTTCCAGTTAATTACTTTTAAAATGAAAATAAGTTTTCCTAATTTTTCTGTAGAAGTCTTTCCTTATAAATATTTTTCTGTATAGTTTTTAGATATTTCCAGATATTTAATTTTTTTACAATTTGAGTGGTATCTATTGAAAATTATATTTTCTGTTACATAGATATATATTTGATATTCTAAATATTGTTTCCATTATTAAAATTTATTTGTGATTTGTAATAGTTTCTCCATAAGCCATGATATCATCTGGAAATAAATGGCAGTTATGGTTCTTTCTGTTTCCGGTACTTTTCCCCACTCTGGCCTTTCGGTGCTGGCTAAAATCCTCTAAATTCAGATTGACTAGAAGTGTTGACAGTGGTCATTCTTGCCTTGTTCCTAATCTCAAAAGGAAAGACTTAATATTTTACCATTATGGATGATGTTTGCCAGTTGCATTTTGTCAGAAAATACTCTACTAGATTAAGAAAGTCCTTTCTGTTTTTAGTTTGATGAAAGTTTCTTTTTTTTCTTTAATCAAAAGGGACTTGAACAAAGTCAAGGGCTTTTCCTGCATCTTTTGAGATTACAATATTTTTGAGTTTAACTTCTTAATATGGTAAATTACAATGTTTTCTTTATGTTAACCTGACCTTACATTCATGGGATAAACCCAATTTAATCACGATATATTTCCTTTTTTATATATTGCTTGATTTAGTTAACTGATAGTTTATTTAGAATTTTTTCATGTATCTTTTTGAGCGAATTTGGTATGATTTTCTTGTCTTTACTTATTAAGTTGAGAACACAGGATTATACTAACTATAGCTATACATGAGTTGGAAAGCATTTCATTTTTTTCTGTCCTACAGAAGATTTATATAAGTTATGACATTATGTGGAACAAGACCAAAAAATTTTGACTACTTATTTAATTTTTCTAATGGTTATCAGTTATATTCAGGATATAGGTTATTGGTAATATTCAGATTTCTAATTTTTTGTCAGTTTTGTGGACTTTTTTTTTTTTTACAAAATTTCTTACTTCATCTTAATTTTCAAATTTACTGACCTGATACTTTCCATAATATCCTCCTATTGTATTTTTAGTAACTGCAGCCTCTTTAATATGATTCCCTTTGTCATTTCTGGTATTAAGTTTTTTAACTATTTTCTTTGTTTTTGATCAATTTCACCAGAAGTCGGTTAATTTTATTAGTCTTCTCAAAAAACTAATGTTTGAAACTGTTGATGCAGTTTTAATCTGGATGCCTGTTTTAATCTTTGTTGACTTTAAGATTATTTTAGTATTTACTTTAATCTCTTTGAATTTATTTTGCTTTTCCTTTTTTGTAAACTTCTTGAGATGTATGCTTAAGTTACTATCTATTTTTTAAAGCTATATGTTTTTCTTCTAAGTACTGTTTTGGCTGAAGATTTGCGTGTAATGTTTTATAGTATTTCTATGGGTATTTGGGTAAACTTATTTTCTAATTTTGATGGCAATGTTTTCTTTGTTCAGCAGTTATATAACTTTTTGACTAACAAGTAGATTTTGATATCTTATTTATGGTTTCTAGCTTAGTAGTACTATAGTCAGAAAACATGATCTGTGTGATTTAATTATTTTGAAATTTGCTGAAATATTTTTGTAGTCCTAAGTGGTGACTTTTCTTAAATATTCCATGTGTGCTAGAAAAAATATGTCCTATGGAGTGGTTAGGTGCCATAAACGTAGATGCATATTAGAACTGGTTTGTTTGTAGTGTTCTTTATGTTTTTCCTATCTTTACTGAATTATTTTTTATCTATTTCATCAAATACTAAGAGAAATATGTTAAAATTTCAACAGTGATTTTTGGTGTATATTTGTGTGTACAAATCTTTCCTTTATTTCTCTGTATTTTAAGTTTTTATAACTTTTTTCGGAATTGAGAAACCATTTTTAAGTAAAACTCTTTTTTCTAGTAATGACTTTTGCCTTAAATTCTATCTTGTCTGGTGATAATTATACTAGCTATCTTTAAAATAGTATTTGGTTTATTTTCTGGTTGTTTAGTTTTAGTCTTACTGTATGTTTATGTATTAGTTGTGTTGCTTATAAATGCTATTTAACTTCATGTCCTTTAACTTTATTTATCCCTTTCTGACATAGAGTGGCCAGGTATTATCATTTTCGTTACTTCTCTCCTTCCTTCCTTTTTCATTTTTACTTCCACAATCACTTTATTATTGTTGTTTATATAATCAATGTTCATTTAGATATATCTACCTATGTATTACTCTCTTTGCCCCTCTTTTATTATTACATCTTAAATTTCCTTTTGAGATCACATGCCTTCTGCCTAAAGTACATCCTTACAAATTTTCACGATACTGCTGGTGAAAAACTCTCTTTCTTCTTTTGGTTTAATGTCTTCATTTCACTCTCATTCTCAAAGATATTTTTGCTAAGTATACAATTCTAGGTTGTCAGTTATTTTCTTTTACCATTTTCCCTTTCTCTGGATTTTGTTGCTGCTGTTTAGAACTCAGCCTGCTTTGAAGTTATTCAACAATTTTTCCCTTCTAGGTGCTTTTTAAGAGTCTTTCTTTCCTTCCTTCCTTCCTACCTTCCTTCCTTCCTTCCTTCCTTCTCTTCCTCCCTTTCTCTCTTTCTCTCTTTCTTTCTTTTAGATACAGTTTCACTTTTATAAGTCTTGGTATGGAATTTTAAAAAGTAATTGTATTTGAGCTTCATTTGGTTTCTTGAATCTGTGAATCAGTGTTTTTCCTTGGTAGTGGAAAAATTATTTACTGTTCTTTAATTATTGCTTCTGTTCAATTATCTCTCTTACTACTATAGCTCTGATGAAATCTAAAATATATCCCTCATTCCATTTTTTCCTGTGCTGCATACTAAATCCCTTCTTCTGACCTGTTTTCCAGTTTACTTACTTCTTTTTTATCTGGGTCTATGACGCTATGAAAATAGTAGATTGAAGTTATTTTTAAAAATATTTTTGAGAGTAGTTTTAAGGTTAAAAAATTGAGCGGAAAGTACAGAGATTGTGAGTATGTGTGGGCACAGCCTCCCTTATTATCAACCCCAGTCACCACTCATCAGAATTGCCCTTTTTTGTTTTTGTTTCTGTTTTTTAATGGAGGTTGAACCTACATTAATGCATAATAATCACCCAAACTCCAGAGTTTACCTTAGGGTTCACTCTTGATGTTGTACATTCCATGCTTTGGACAAATGTATACTGACATGCATCCATCATGATTACATCATAAAAAGTATTTTCACTATGCCCAAATCTTCTGTGTTATGCCTATTGTCACTCTTCTCTCTCCTTACCACAGGCAACCACTGATCATTTTTTGTGTCTCCATAGTTTTGCCTTTTCCAAGATCTTATAGTTGGAATCATACAGTATGTAACCTTTGCAAATTGGCCTTTTTTTCACTTATTAATATGTACTTAAGTTTCCTTCATATCTTTTCATGGCCTGATAGCTCATTTCTTTTTAGTGCTAAGTGAAATTCCATTTAGTGACCTAAAAATCACACCCATATGGTAAGAGTAGGGTGAGTTTTATAAGAAACTGCCAAAAATCTTCCAAAGTGGCTGTACCATTTTGCATTCCCAACACGAATGCATAAAAGCTCCTGTTGCTCCACATCCTCACCAACATTTCTACTCTAATAGGTGTGTATATCTCTTGAGATTTTAATTTTAGTATTTTTCATTTGAAAACATTAGTTTAGTTTTCTTTTCAATTCTATTGGGGCAGTTCTTAGAGTTTTGTTCTCTGAATCTGTCTTTACATTTGTTCCTATATGAAACTAGTTTTTAAACCCTAGTGTAAGGAGCACCTGGGTGGCTCAGTCAGTTGAGGTTCTCATGGTTCATGAGTTCGAGCCCTGCATTGGGCTCTGTGCTTACAGTTTAGAACCAGGAGTCTGCTGCAGACTCTATGTGTCCCTCTCCACCTCCGTCACTCATGCTCTGTCTCTCAAAAATAAATAAACATTAAAAAATAAATCCTAGTATAAACGCTCTGTTATAAGAGGTATCTAGTGATTCTATTGTCTGAAGTCTTTGGAATCTGTATCTGCTATCTATTTTTCTTGCTCATGCTCGCTCTTTTCTTTTGTGTTTATTTATTTTTATGTACCCTTGTAATATAGGAAATTTCGTATGAGAAAACTCTTTGAAGTCTGGAATGTAAGTTTCTTCTTCCAAAAATAATTTGTTTCTGACTCCTGCATGGAATTGCTATAAGTCTGAGACCACCTTAAACTGCACACAGCGCTTACATTTCCCTGGACTATCCAGGGGATATAACAACTTCTTAACGATCCCCCTCCTCCTAACCCCTTCACTCATCTTTCTAACACTATTTACTGCTCTCTACTCTGCTCACAAAAAGTCATCCCTCTCTACTACAGACTGTGGTGGCAGGGTTACTTCTGGTTCACCATTATTCTGAAGACAGAAAGCTTTTGGGTCCTAATTTAAGGAGTAGAAGGTCTCCTATGAGACTACTTACCTTCGGCAGGCCTTGGGCCTTAACTTCCATCGTATGTTGGATACGTTGAGACAGGGCAAATTTTTAGAAGTAGCTAGTGTAAGTTTGTGCCATTGTATATTGAGAGCCCCAACGTGGTTTCCCCATGTCTGCTAGGACCTTTAAAATCAAGAATATAATTGCATTTATGATAGACTCAAAGTCAGTGATAAAGGAGAGTAAAGGCATGTAATGAATGTATATTCTATATACTAACTCCTAGTAATTTGTCT